GGAGGGAGGGAGGGAGGGAGGGTTGTAAGTCATATATTCATGAGCATTATTTTTATGAGATTCTACTTGGTCTTATGGCTCTGTTGTGACCTGTTTCTGTGATCTTTGTGCAGGTCTGGCTCGGGCCAAGTCAATACCCACCAAGACCTACTCCAACGAGGTGGTCACACTGTGGTACAGACCTCCTGATGTCCTGCTGGGGTCTACGGAGTACTCCACACCTATCGACATGTGGTCAGTCACTGTTATTGCTTGCTTCCATGGGAGGGGCATCTGTGTGTCTGTCATTACTCTGTCTGATGTTACTGTTTGTTTGTTTGTTTGTGCGTTGTATGCTGTACCTGTGTGCGTAGTGTCTGTGTATGATATGTCTCTTTTTATTGCAATGTCTGTGTTTTTATTGTGTATCCAGTGTGGATTTTATCCATTATCGTCTTTCTAGTGGGCTTGTGTGTCCTTTTTTTTTTCTCTTTCATTTACTGTTTGTGTTTGTTTGCACTGTCTGTCATTTGTGCCTTTATTTCCCTGTCTCTGCTCTGCTCTGCTTGGTTCTTGCTCTCTGTGTGAAATCTGTATTGGTTGGCATACTTTCCTATGTGTGTGTGGGAATGGTTTGAGAGTTTCACTGCTTGGCCTTTCTTTTTTTCTTATCCTCTGTTGCCTTTGTCTGACTGAACTTACTTTTTTCTTGCCCTAAGTGACGGTTATTGTGTCGAAGTGCTTTTGTTTACTCAAAATGTACAAACTTTGGTGTGTGTTTCTGTGTCTATGTCTTGCCCAGGTGCAGTTGGTTGGTGCACACTCTAGTGTGGTCTTTAAAAAAAATCTACTATTGAAATTGTCCAAGAGAGCCACCCATTGGGGGGGGGAGGGGGGGGGGAGAGAAGAGAGGGGGCTCTCGTTGCTTAGTGGTTAAGGTGGTCGTCCTGGGTTCAAATCTGGGTAACGACCGAAAAATTTCCTTCTCTGAAATTGTCTCCTTTCACCTCCTTTCCTAGATCCTGCTCTCTAGCAATGTTCTGTCGTCTGATTTTGTTTCCACTTTCTGTACCCCACCCCCTCAACCTCTTTTCCCCCTCCTCTGGGCTCCTGACTTTTTCTGCAGCTTTCTACTACTACTCCTTAGCTCCTTACTGCTGTCTTTCAGCCACACCCCTGATCTTCTGGTAGGAAAGATTTACACCAAGCCTTCTTGCACAAGGATGAAAAATCTTGGAGGTCCCGTGTGCAAGTTGTGCTCGTTAAAGATCCCTTAGTGTTCTAAAATCGAAAAGAGTAGGCTTCGGCCACCACCCGGGCAAAACTCAAAATTTCCTACCAACTGAAAATGTTTAATGTGTCTCGCTCATTTGACCGTATGCAGTTGCGAGCGCTGTAAAACACCTACAGAAATTTTTAAAAACAACAAAACCCCATTGTGGAGGAGAAAATGGTTGTCTTGGACAGGTGGTTGTCTTTCAACTGTCCCATAGTAAATCTGTCTGCCTTGCTCTTTCTGGCATTTACATCACTATATATTTGTATTGCAAGTGATGTAAAAATTCGTATAGAATAAAATTTGTTCTTTCCCAGCTGTAATTGATAGTTTTTATGTTGATATGTCTCTCCTTACTCAACTAAATGACTATGATTGTATCGATGTGGATTGCTCAAACTCAAACTGTTCCATGGTTGGTTGGCGGGTGCTCTGGTGTGGTTTGCTTTCCTCTTTCCTATCAAACATCTTTCATCTTTTTCTCTCCTCTTTTGTGTCTGTTACTCTCTTGTAACCCCTCTAATCTTATATGACCTTATTGTATTGCAAGTGCCGTAACACTCTTACTAAAATTCCAACTGTGTTTCCCTTGACCAGGGGCGTGGGTTGTATATTCTACGAGATGGCATGCGGCCGGCCGCTGTTCCCGGGCTCCACTGTGGAGGACGAGCTACACCTCATCTTCAAGACGCTCGGGGTGCCCACGGAGGACAGCATGCCCGGCATCTCAAAGAACGAAGAGTTTTTCAACTACGACTTCCACACCTCGCCTGTGGACAGTTTGATCACAATAGCTCCCAGGTATGTCCAGGACAGATCTGAGCTGTAGCATGTGTCACATTAACCTTTTCCTGATCAATCCAGCCGAACAGGGCCAGTTAAAAAAAAATCAATGCAAGAATTTAACCTGGCCGAAATTAGAGCCAAGCACGCACCTTGCTTCTCCCATGGAATTTTCTCAGATGTAAGCCGGATAAAAACAGACCTCTGACATAAAACTGTTCAATGTTTTCATTTCTAGTGAGAAAAGTGTTTCAGGATTGGCCTCAGTGGTCTGAATTTTCCTTTACTTTTATAATCCGAGGAAGAATGTGTGCACCGGAAGGCTGGTGTGTGCTTAGGAGGTTGGACTTGGCGGCCATTGTTGGTGAAGAATGAGAACAGGAAAAGGTTCAATAGATTTGTTGCAAGCATTCTGTTACTTCAAGATAGTTGAGAGATTGTGAAATCTGTCAGGTCTGCCTAATTTGGTCCTGCGCCATGTCTTGTATCTAATGTTTGTCCGCGTTGGTGGTGCAGTGAGAGACATTTTGTGGCTTGTTGGTAATCAGTATGGATAAACAAGGTTGATGTATGTTACCAAAAGTGGTAATTCAAAAGAATCAATGAATATATTTTAGATTCATATTTAGATCAATTTGTAGATTTGACATATATTCAGGACTCTCCCATACATATAACTGTTTTTTACAAATGAAATAAAGATCCTGGAAAGGTTTTCATTTTCTGTACCATGATATAAGCTGGTCTCCAGATGTTTATAATAATAATAATAATAATAATAATAATAATAATTGCATTTATATAGCACATATCCATGCTCAAGAGCTTGCTCTATGCGCTTTACAACTATTATTACCCCAGCAGACCCTCTGAGAACACTCAGAAACATTCTCAGCTTCCGCGGAAGCATACAGTGCAAGCTGCGGATTTCACGCGCTCAAACACTATCAAACTGACAAGATCTTTTACTGTCTATAGCTGGGTACCCATTTCCACCTGGGTGAAGTGAGGAAAATTTGTGCAAAGTGCCTTTCCCAAGGACACAAAGTCGGGTCCCTGACAGGATGTTTACTTTTAAAGAAATTTTTGAAGTGCTATTTTGTCTCCTTTGACAATTTTTACACGTTTTTTAAATATATTTTCTCTCTCCGCAGACTTGATGCTGATGGTCTGGATTTATTAGCAAAATACTTAAAGGTAAGTAGATCGTTGTGGCACTCTCAGAGGAAGTGTCAGACATTAAATCATTTGTTAAGATGAGAGAAAGAATAGTGATCAAAAGAGGAGGTGAAGAAATGAAAGAGGAGGTGGGGAAATGAAAGAGGAGGTGAAGAAATGAAAGAGGAGGTGGGGAAATGAAAGAGGAGGTGGGGAAATGAAAGAGGAGGTGGGGAAATGAAAGAGGAGGTGAAGAAATGAAAGAGGAGGTGAAGAAATGAAAGAGGAGGTGGGGAAATAAGAAGGGGAAGAGATTAGAGTTTGAGTAAAGAGAAGCACTGTGATAGAATAATGGTCATTAAGTGCTGGCAAAAATTAAGGATTTTGTTGACTCATTTACCTCAGTTGGGATTTACCAGAAGATAATAATTTTCAATAGGAAATATATTATCTCATGCAAGTCCTTTCATTGTATTCCTGTGTTTACCCTTCTCTGAGAAACTACATTCAATTTATTCTTGTGTAGTTATTGGAAATAATTATGTAAAAGTTTCAATTCAAGGCTTACAATGACATTTGATTGCTAGGAAAAAAAATTACACTTATCAAATTACCCCCCCCCCCCGGAGATAAAAATAGATGATAGACTAACTGAATATTCCAAGCTGAAAGAGATTGTTTGTTCAAAGAATCACTAGTTAACTTGCTCAGCTGCTGCACTTACAGTGACCCTCTACCCAGGACATGATGTGACGTAACTATATTTGCACTCCCTTCTTCCTCCCTCTTTCCCAACAGTACAATCCTGCCACTCGCATTTCTGCCCCCGATGCCATGAAACATTCATTCTTTGACGGCCTGGGACCCGCCGTCCACAAGCTGCCTGATAGTAAGTTCTGGTCTCTGTGGTTCTCAGCCTCAGTTTTATGCTCTGGTATAATACCTACAGTGTGGAGTTTTTATTACTTTAATTGGAGTCTGATAGGAAAATATTAAACATGCAGTGTGATGTTTTTATTACTTTAATTGGAGTCTGATAGGAAAATATTAAACATGCAGTGTGGTGTTTTTATTACTTTAATTGGAGTCTGATAGGAAAATATTAAACATGCAGTGTGGTGTTTTTATTACTTTAATTGGAGTCTGATAGGAAAATATTTACTGTGCAGTGTGGTGTTTTTATTACTTTAATTGGAGTCTGATAGGAAAATATTAAAAGATGAGAAATGATAAAATACAAGATAGATACGATAAGATTAGATGATACTTTGTTGTCTCAATGGGACATTTTTCTTGGCTGTACAGGAATGATAAAAATACTTGTATATATAACAAAGAATTTAAATTATATATTACTATCGTAAAAATTCAATATGAAGAGAAAAATAAAATGGTATACATATATATGTGAGATACCAACAGGCTTTCATGATGTTGATGAAGCCCTACATTCTGTCTGTTTTAGCTGTCTGTAAGTAATTAAGTTCTAGTCATGTTTTGTTTTGGTCATGAGCGATAAAATAGTGATTTTATATAAGAAAAAATTGTTGTTTAAACAAACTACAGTATGACACGGATGGCTCGAATTCGCCAGGACTGGCCTCGGTAGTTTGAGGGATTCGTAGTTCAAGGGATATCTGACAAAGATAAAGAAGAAAAAATAAAAATGGGACTGCAGGCACAGTTTGACGGATGCGTGATTTCGAGTCTTTTTTGTTCGACCTATCCGTGTTGTGCTGTAAACTGTTATTCTGCATGTAATTATTTACGCATTTTGCTGTGCCAATGTTTGGCGTATATACTCTACTGGAAACTTACTGTTGTGATAAAAGTCACAAATGAATTCATCAGTGTGCTTTTTTCCTTTCTATGGTTCTTTGACATTTTGTGGTAATGACAATTTGCTATTTTGTCAGCCACATATCTGGTTTAACTGTACATTAAAGTCTTGTAACTCCCATCGATCGGCAGCTGTCTCAGTGTTCACCGTCCCTGGTATCTCGTTGCACCGTGACCCCGGCATGAGGTCTTCGTCTCTAGCGACCACAGGTGAGGACATCGTGTGTTTCTATGCTCTAGTCAGTCAAAAGTAAACTTTGATTCCCCATTCTGGACTGATTTGACCTTGTGCACAGGTCGGGAGGGTCACAATGGGGTTGATGTGGGGTGTTACTGCTGGCTGTGATCACCAATGTGCGCAAAGACATGGGGTGTTATACTTTACTTTTACTTCTCTAGCCCACTAAGTCAGGGCATTTTATCAGAAGGAAATATTTTTTTGACTGAGATTTTAATAAAAAATGTTTACCCCATGGGTTGGGGTCTAACAAGTTGATGTACTTCATGCTAGCAAGGTGGACCCTCAACTACACTGTCACTGAATGGAGGTTATGATGTCTGTGTATTATGTACACACATGTCCATTCATTTTTAAGGTATTATATTTTTTTTATTATGTAAGACGCATTGATCATGTTTTAGAAAATGGAAATGTGCAGGATAAATGCTATATTTTTATCATTTATTATTATTATTGTATTTCTATTTTACTCGATACCAACTCCAGCAAGTTTTATAATTCATTGATATTGTTGTTTTTATTTATTTCTCTTTCATTCACACAAAGTAACAAACTAACGTGTGTGGTCTCTCCTCAGGTAAACTCCGGAGACAGAGCATGCTGTTTTAAGCCAGGGTTTATTAGCATAGCAAAATCACGGATGGACTCTGATCACAGACCTGCACTGGTGCGGAGGTCGTGAAGATCAACAAAGTGGACGTACCCTTGTCTGATGAAAACTTCACACTTCTCACCTTGTAGTTCATGCTGTCATTGGGCAACAACCCTTCCTTCCACTGTCCGCTTGTCTTAATTTTTTTTAACGTTTGAGTCGAGAAAAAGAAGACAATGCTCTATGGTGTCTGTGGCTGGTCAGATGTTTATACTTTTGACTGTCACAGCTTTGGATCATTAAGTGTTGTGGGTCACTCTCATTGATGGTGTGTCAAGGCTCTTGGGGGGTCAGAGTCAGTCTGTGTCAGTGGTTAGAGTCTATCTTTTTGGGCAATCTGTGCCAGTCTACTTTTGAGCTGTGAGAGATCTGAGCAATGATGTGGCACATGTGTGCGTGTCGCGCACTGCCTGGTCTGTGAGACTGACACAGTGATGTGTCAATGTGTGTGTGTACACCAGGTTGACTGTGTCACATACTGCCTGGTCCGTTAGACTGACGCAGTGATCTGGGTCCCACGCATTACTCTGGCTGAGCAGGTTAAGGCAGACGTTGCTTAAGAGGTTGAATAACAAAAATAGGAGGGAGGGAGGGGGAGTGTCAAAGGATTGGGCTCAGGCTCGAAGTCGGGAAGTTATGATTTTTATATGTAGAACAGCCAGCCAAAACTATTTGATAATTTTGGGGAATGTGGAGAGGTATCCCCCCAGTATACTTTTCAAGGTTTTGGCTTCAGGGTTCAGTTTATGAATAGACATCTGTGAATAGAGAAATGTTTTGAACAAACTGTTCCTTTGAACTGGACAGGGCAGTGGTCACAATTGTCGTGTGAACATGGCCAGATATCTCTAGAGTTGCTCCATGTTGGGGCAGTATAATCCTCACAGCCAGTTTCACCCAAGGACCAAGATGTGTAATCTTTTCAGATATAAAGCATGTTAATATGTTTGAATGTATCTGTAATTTGTGTGTGTGTGTGTGTGTGTGTGTGTTTGGGTGAAATAAGGAGGGAAAAAAAAGAAAGAAAGATAACGCAGGCACTCTGTTTTTCATCCTTGCAAAGAGTGTTCTTGCAAGTGTTTGGTGTGTTTGTGTCTATGTTTGTAGCTTTGAAAGTTTTCTTTTGAAGTGTGAGTGACCGCTCGTATGCATGTGTGCGACTCTTCGAGGACAATTCTTAGTTTGCTCTGGTCACTGTGTCCCTGGTGCTCTCATGACCCTAGCCCAAGTCATGCTGACCTTTTGACCCCTGTTGCTTAAGTCTTGCTCGTTACAGCAAGGTTCTGGTCACAGCAGTTGTATTCTATTAGAGATCTGAACATCAAGTGTGATGAGATTGGTGGCCAGTTGTTTTGCCCTGATGCCCTGTTCATCTTTCACAATGTCCTTTATATTGTGCCCTTCAGTTTGTAGTAGTAAAATCAATCTGTCTTTGAAGGCTGCGCATACATACATGGCATTTGGCTGGTTTGTTTGGCGCGGGAAATGTTTACAGTGGCCACCAGCCCCATCACACTTTTGGTAGGGTTTTTTTTTCTTTTACTACTTTTATATTCAGAATGCTTCTCAACTTGTCCTGGTGCAAAAGTAATGGTCTAGATTGTTGGGTAGTCTCGAGCTGGCTCTGTTCTTTTATGAGCCAGAGGTGGTGAGGATGTTTCCTCTTTTTTTTGTGGTGCAAGTTGAGCTTTGGTGGCTTTCACTAAGATAGCATGCGACAAATGATGTAAATTTTGCATTCGACCTGAAAAGCAAATTACAGAAATAGCGTGAAACCTTTAGGACCATTCGTGTTGAAAGTTTCATGATGTTGCTCAGTTCGCAAAAAAGACTGCACTATGAATGTTATTTGCCACCTGCTACCTTATATGAAACTACACTTACTGTTATTATGTTTGACCCCACTCTGTATCTGAACATCTGGAGGTCCTATCAAGCAATATATATATATATATATACAGACAGTGAGAAAATATCTCATACTGAAAAAAGTCCTGGAGATGCAGACTCGGATATCAGGGACAGTATATGTTGGTCTGACATCTGCTGGACTTTACACTGTTGCCAAACTTGTTCTGGACGTTGGTCACAGTGACACTGGCTGTCGTGGTCAGTGGGTTACGGTTACAACTTTCAACTTGCAAGGCAATACAGATCATGCTGGACAGCTTGTCACTACAGCATGTCCTTTCTCATTTCTGTGCGCTGTCTGCATGATGTGAGAGAATTCTCTGACATTGTTTATAGAATGTACTTTGTGAGTTGGCTTAATCTGTCCTGGAATTTTTTCAGTTGACATTTTTATGCCATGTAATTTATTCCCAAATCTATTTGCAAACTGGTGTTGCTTTTGTTTCATGTTCATTACGCAAAATGATGATGATGATGATGATGATGACATATGTATGTGCTACATGCAATCAGCTGTCGCCTGCTATATACTTGTACATGTTCAGTGTTGTGTTTCCTTTGTGCATGCTGTAAACTGTATCAAACCTGTGAGGAAGAACTCCTCATAAGAAACTCTTCTCTGTCAAATAACTGACTTGTAGGGCTTCTCATTTGTAAAACTAAAAACAAGAGTCTGCCAGTACAAAAATATGTAACTAGCCAGTGATGGAGGAGTCCAACATATGTCGCGAGTTGCTACCCCAGAATTTCCAAGTTCTACCTGCTCAGTAGGCCTACCTAGTTTTGAAAAATTTGCCCAAAATTTTTTGTTTCACAACATGTCTAGCTTTTTCAAATTCAATTCTTTGAATATATCTTGATAACTTCTCACAACAATTTTATGATTTTGATAAAGCAGATAGAACATTTGGTGTCCGACCTCATGGTCTTACTAACTCAAAGTGGCCAAAAATGCCAGATAGAACTTTGTGACTCTGAGGTAGTGATTTGTTTAGCAACAATTCAAAATGAAACATAGTCTCAACTTTAGGGTAGTCTTAGGTGTTGTCATGCCACTAGAGAGCCCTTTCTTAGTAGGGGTGAAGATTGTGAAAAATTTGTATTTGTGTGAACATACCTTAGGCCGAGTTGTTGGACATTTCTTATGAGTAGGGGATAGGATAGTAGAAAAAGTTTTGGCCAACTGGCTAGTTCTCCACAATATAGCTAACATTGTTCACTATAGTTATAATATTAAATCAGAAAGATGTAATCCAAAGGTCGAGATACATGATAGTACTTTCAGTTTTGTGCCCACAGAGTATCCCTTTCAAATAATAAATTGCATACATCTGTATGGCTTTAAAGGGGTAGTAATTTTGAAACAAGTTTTCATTCTTAAAATCAAGTGTTGTCATTGACTTGAACCCTAAGATTTAGCTCTCAGTGGGAGGAGTTAGGTATTGCGTAATAAATGCAGCCTTTTTTTCTTCATTATGTGTGCATAGGTAAAGCATTTTAGCCTCGTAAAATATATCAACACGGTATTGATTGCCCGTCCGTCATTTTTGTCTCAAACTCAAACTCGAAAAAGTTTTGACTGCAAAATTGGACTTGCCATTCATCTGTAATTTTATCTCTCTATTTTTGAAGATGTGTTGACCAGGTTGGCTGGAAGGTCTAGGTTTATATGGATACTGCTCAATTTTTTAATGACACAGCACTCTTGTTTACTCGGTGAAACAATGCGTTTTACTGAAATAATGTTGTAAGAACTTTTTTTTTCTCCTTTTGTGAAGATGATACAAAGTACAATGCATCTCTAGTGGAAGGCACACACTGTTGGCTTGTAATGAAGCTAGCTTTCTCCCTTGAGGTCATCACCTTCAACATCACATCATCACAAAGTGCCCTTTTGCAAATCATTTGTTAAGTTTAATATTTATATGTATGAATATTTTTGTCTTTGTCTCAGTCTCCCCTCTTTTCATTTGACATTTTAAATCATCTCGCTCGGAGAACTCGCGCTTTTTTTAGATAGATACAAGTGCATGTTCTTTTTTTTTCTTTATTTAAAAATTTTAAAAAATCACTTTAGTTGTTACAGTAGTATCGTTGATTTTTCATGATTCATTATCGTAGCTAGTTTTGTTTTTGTAGACATCAGATGTTTTTGTCTTGTGGGGTGCTTATTGAACCACTTTTATTCTTGCAAAGCGGACAGGTCAATACTTTTTTTTCAAGTGGTATTTAAAACGTGATTGCACATATTTTTTTTCTTTGGATAGATTTGAATATCAGCTCCCATTTTTGTAATTTATTTCATGACAATTTTCGTATAGAGTTTTATCTTTTGAAAAGTTCTCTCAGACCAAATTGCTGAATACTGAAAGGAAGCCAGTAACTTTGGAGAAGTTTTTACATTACAACATCTGTCTTTGTGCGAAGGGCTTTCAGTGACAGTATTCAAGTTTCTTCATACCCCTCACTCTGATATATAGCTTGTGAGAAATACCGTTGTCAGATATTTTTGATATATCATTGTACACTATAAATTGACAGTTTATACATTCGATGTTTAGAATGGTGCTTGCTATGAACTCTACTTGCTAAGATGTTGTTGTTTGTTTGTTTGTTGTTGTGTCTAGCACAGACCACCGGCTGCGGCTGTTTCTGGCTCCAGGGTGTTTGTTGTCTGATGATGGAGCTGGATGAGTGGCTGTGGGAACTGTATGCACCCTCATGACATGTTTGGTGTGGAAGTTTGTGTTTGCACTAGTTTACATGTTCTGGAAACTTATTAATTTTTTTTTTCATTTTAAGATTCTGAAACTTTTGCACTCATACTAACTGTCAACACGATCATCGTGTAGCCTCTCATGGTTTTTTTTTTCTCTCCAGTGCTTCCTGCTGTGCACAGGTGTTTTGAGCTCTGTCTGTCTGCTAAATGCTCAGGTTCAGTGTTGCTATCAGAAATCTCACATAATTAAGAAATTGGTTTTAATTTAGCAAGATGATTGTTAAGAGGGAAAAAAAAAGAAGAAAAGGATTTATGTACATATATGTATTGCCAAAAGCAAGAAGAGAAACGATTGTATTGCAGCATCAAATTAAGTAAATAGTATTAGTAAAAAATAGAATGACTTTATTCAAATTTGAAAATTAGACCTGCAACGAAAATTTCCCATCTCTTAGTGTATGATGATGAATACAGTAGTCTCCGCCTAAACGCATGGTGCTCTGGAGGGCTCCTTAGGGTGTTTTTATACGGAGCGTGCATTAACATGAACCTGTGCAAAGGGAGAGAGGGAAGCAATCATCCCATTTCCTTGATATTTTAGTGACCTCCCATGGGGGAATGGGGGGTCACTTTTGGCCGATTATGTGACGAAAAGTGACCGTTTTGTGGAGGATTCCCCAACTGCAGTAATCGATATACTGAGGCGTTGGGGGGTGGGGGTTAGCGGAGCAGAAAGACGCGACTAATTGTACTGATACTCACTAAAATGGCAGGAACAGATAAGAGGGAACTGTTGGTGATAGTCATAGGGAAGAGCGCTGGGCCTTATGGGTTTCCAAGTGAGCACTCCTGACTTCCTGTTGTCTTTTGCTACTCGGTAAATGCATGGACGACATCAGATGCAGGCATTCTGAGAGAATTTTCTCTGGTGATTCGTTGAACAAGTACGTTATGAGTTCTTCGAGGGCAGCTGATTACTTTACTAATCTTTATCAATCCTATAGACAATAAATGATGCCTATCTAGTGTTCTACAGCACTCACACGTCTTTCGCATCATAGGCCAAACTGAACTACGTAGCCTATGCAGTATCGTAACTCCAAACATCTGTCAGAAACCAACTCTCAAAGTCAAAAAACATTTCAGTCCCCCCCCCCCCCATCCCCAACATATCACCCGACCAGTTATAGATCTATGTGTCCGGGGAAAGTCGGATGTGAAAACTCCCTCAATCACTCTCTTTGCTCTGCGAGAGGGGCAGTCTCGCCAAATATAGGGTTGTCTAAGCTTGTCTTGAGCAAGTTGTGCAGATTGTAGCGAACATTTCCCATTGTTAAACGTTACCTGTCTGTGTGTTTTGTTGATGGAAGCGTGCGTTTAGAAGGAGTAACCCTGCG